GAGAACGCGCTTTCGCCGAGATGAACACGGTCCGCAAAGTTCAACTAGCTACTTTAACCTTATTTCATGTAAATATGCAAGCTTGAAGTGATTTTGAGCTCAAATTGCTTACAAATGAAAAAAACCAAAATAAAGAACCATATATATATATAGTGAACAAAATGAGATAAGACAATGGTGAAAAATGAGAGTATGAGATTGGTAACCTTTACAACTGAAGAATCGACGGAGGAATCGAAGAAATCGATGGAGGAATCGAATAATGGATGGAGGAACAATGGAGGAAGGGAGGAAGCAAGAACACTACTGCAGTGAGCTTCAAAATGTCTTGAGCTCGGGCTCGGGGAGGAAGGAGGAGACGGCCGATTTATAAAGGGAGAACATTTAGTCGGTTGGTGGATCCAACCGGGACTAAAATAACTTTCAACCCCGGCGCAGCCACGGCCCGGGAGTAGACCTTTACTCCCGGTTGGAGCCACCAACCGGGAGTAAAAAGTATACCTTAGTCGGTTGGTGGCTCCAACCGGGACTAAAGGTCCCTGCCACCTCATGCAAGCGCAGTAGCCGTTGGGGCAGGGACCTTTAGTCCCGGTTGGAGCCACCAACTGAACTAAAATATCTCTAGTCCCGGCGCAAAAATTCCGGGACTAGAGCCCATTTTAGCCGAGGATCAAAGGTCTGTTCTCTACTAGTGAACCAAAATAAACTTTGTAGATCTCGAAAAGTTATGAAACTTTGTAATTGGCAACTTTTGATTTGAAAACACCTTGTCATGCAAAACTGCATTTGAATGTTTCATGCCTCTTGCAGTTTCAATCGACTTGGAACAATATGACCGAAGAGAGCAAGCAGAAAAGTGGCCTGGTGATAAGGACCAATAGGCAGGGAATCGCTAGGCTAATTTTATCGAGGTTGATTACTACAATGTACTTAGCATATCAAAGTCAATCTTTTCACAAGAATTATTCTCTCTAGTTCTGTACAGAAGCACTGTTTGGCATTCAGATTTTCTACAGGATGAGTCTGACATTATTTTGAACTGAAATATTCCAGAGAAACGATCTCTAGTTGATTCAGTTTATACGTTTTGCGTTATTTTGGCATTCTGATTTCCCGTCTGATTCAGTTTATACATTTTGCATCATTGCATCTTAGAGGAATGATCTGAAGATGGGTAAGGGGAAGATTGCTGCAGTGCAGGTGAGACCTTTGCTTCACTAAACCATGATATAATATCTTATTCTTCTGTAACTATAGCAATAGTTCCTGCAGTTAACTGTGTTGGTAATAGAGTACTGTCTTCTGTGATGACTTAACTTGCAATAGTTTCCTTCCTAAGGATTGACGTACTTGCTCCATTGACGTACTTGTTTGTATTTTATATATTATCATTTTCTCACAAGCTAGTTTGTTTATTTGCTCATATTTTCCATGGCAGATAGCAGAATCCAATGACATGAATATCTTCTTCCTGAGCACAAGGGCTGGTAGTTTTACTTGTAGTATGTTAGAGGGACATGTAATGGCTTTTGATATTACTTCATGTATATAATTAGAAATTCACTACTACATAGACTTTGATGTGTGAGTTCCAGTAGAAAATTGGGTTTTTCTTCTCTTTTGTTTTTCAAAATCGTTATCGCGAGACGCGTGTTGGCTAAGCGCGTCTGTGGTAAGATGTCCTACAGACGCAGCGTGTTGGCTATGCGCGCGTTTGTGACAAGGGATCATAACAGACACTTGTTTACTGTACACATCTGTGATGACTCCTATTACAGACGCGTGTACCCTTATCATAGACGTGTTTCGATAGCCTTTTTCTTTGCCGTCTTTGCCGTGCGATCTTCCAGCTCCGGCAGGCAGTGGAAGTCTGAAAGAACAAGGCAACCGATTTGGTCTTTGATGTACTCTTATATTGTAGAGGTCGTTTTGTGTCTTTTTGTCCATCCTTTGTAACAGCCTTTGTTTTCTTTAGATATATTAGATATGAAACATTCTTTTCAGTGCTTTTATATAGAAAAAGCTCACTGCCACTTCCGTTAGTTACCGAATGGCACACAAGGAATTGCCTAATAAAAAACAAATGATACACTTGTATTGAATATTTTGGCTTCTAAGAAAACAATGTTGCTATGGTAATCAAGTCCTTAACGAGATAATCTTGCTGCTTCAAGTCCACGTTTCCAAATAACACACGCAGCTCTTGGAGAAGAGGGGCAAGTGCTAGCCAGATATCGAAAGTCATCGCCTACCATAAGCTCCTTGTGCGACTTGAGGATCTTTTGAAGCACGCCTCCTTGGCTGACGGCAACCGTGCTGCTCCGCGAGCACGAGCGTAGTCACCACTACACTCCTGTCGACAAAGCTGCAGAGAACATACTCGCAGATGGACTTTAGCCTGTCGACGCCATACCGGTCAGCTGCCACGAGCAGATGCTGAGCCATCACCGTCCTGTCGCCGCCGTCGATGTCGTCCGGCAACGAGTCGGTGTAGATGAAGTGGAGCAGGGCCCTGAACACGCTCGCCTCGACGTCACGGATGTTCAAACTCGTCGCGCCGCTCTCCTTGTGTGGCCCGCCGAAGAACACGGCCCTGAACACCGGAGACAGCGCGGCGAGCACGCTCCTGTGCGCCGAGAACGCCTCCCGCCCACCTCAAGCGTCACGTCCGCCCCGTCCCCGCTAGCGAGGAGGTCGCCGAGATGCCGGTGCAGGTCTGGCAACGGTGGTGCAGCCGCTGACAGTCGTCCACAGTCCTCTTCAACAACTGTAACGTCGCACCTTAAACTGAATTAGTCGTCTTTCACGTAGGACGACTCGAATTCCTTCCTCTCCCTGAACCGTGCGAAGCGCCACGACTGACCTGTTCTCGAGAAGGTCCACACGCCACCGCATGTTGCGGCGATAGATGGCACTGGATCTCCGGCCTCGTCGAGCAGACTGAACTTGGCCCGTACCATGACGTCCTCTCTGCCGGCACGACGTTCAAGACGTAGGGCGAAAGAGATGCAGTCGGCGGTGTCCTCGGTGAGGCCGTCGGGGAAGTACGTGATGCACCAGGTGTGCCCTCCGACGACGAACGGGCATGATTTCACGCGTCTGGCGACGCCTGGTAGACCTTTGATTTGGGAGTAGCCCTTGACCTTGAGCGCGTGCCAGCCAGTCGCTGTCTTGGTGAACATGGTCGACGACGCTGCTGCGTCCTCGTCGTCGTTATCGAAAGCGGACTCCCACGACCTTTGTAATTGACAACTTTTGATTTGAAATCATCTTGTCATGCAAAACTATGTTTGAATTTTAAAATTTTAAAATTCAAATTTTATAAACGACCTCGGATAGGAATACTTCCTAAGCTAAAAGTGTAGATCTCGAAAAGTTATGAAACTTTGTAGTTTACAACTTTTTTATTTGAATTCGTTTAGGGCCTCAAACATGCAATTTACACTTGGCAAAAAACTTCTTTGCCAGAGTGTTTTTTGACACTTTCGGCAAAGAAGCTTCTTTGCAGTGTTTTTTGACACTTTCGGCAAAAAAAATTTCAATGCACATTTTGAAACAGTAAATTAATTCAAATGAAACAGTTTTCAACTACAAAGTTGTATAACTCATTAAGATGTACAATGTTTGTTTTGGTATTTTCTTCATACGACAAAGTGAAAATAAATTTGTTCATAAATCTAACATATCTCTCTTGTAGTTTATGAAACTACAAGAGATATATAAGATTTGTGAACAATGTTAAACGACCATGTCGGATGAACAGATGACCAAACAACCAAAATAAACTTTGTAGATCTCGAAAAGTTATGAAACTTTGTAATTGGCAACTTTTTGATTTGAAAACACCTTGTCATGCAAAACTGCATTTGAATTTCAAAATTTTAAAATTCGAACTTTTCAAACGACCTCGGATGAAAAAACAACCAAAATAAACTCTGTAGATCTTGAAAAGTTATGAAACATTGTAGTTGACAACTTTTTGATTTGAAAACATCTTGTCATGCAAAATTGCGTTTGAATTTCAAAATTTTAAAATTCAAATTTTGTAAACGACCTCGGATGGAAAAACTTCCTAAACTAAAAATGTAGATCTCGAAAAGTTATGAAACTTTGTAGTTTATAACTTTTTTATTTGAATTAGTTTAGGGCCTCAAACATGTAATTTACACTCAGTTTAGTATAATATATTGGGAACTAAAACAGAATGCAGACACAAGTGAGAGTGTGATGTAGTGGTAGAGGAGGTACGTGCACAGCGGGAGATCTCGGGTTTGAATCGCGTCGGCCACGTAGCCATGAAATTCACGCGAAAAATGTCAGATATGGGTGGGCGGCCGCGGTGGGGGCCTCCATCGATAAATAAAAATTTCCATTTTTTGGTAAAATTCCCATTTTTTCGGGTTTTTTCGGTTTCAACTTTGCGAGTGTCGGCACTTTCGGCAAAACTTTGTCGAGTGTCCGACAAAAGACACTCGGCAAAGACGCCTTTGCCCGACGGTTTATTTGCCGAGTGTTCTTTGCCGAGTGCAAATTAGGCTTTGCCCTCAGCACTTTCGGCAAAGACAACGATTCCCGTAGTGTTTGAGGTGCGTTTGGTTGGTCTTTTGGCTTTGGCTTTTGACCCCAAAAGCCAAAAACCCAACTAAATGGGCTGCTTTTGGAGGCTGTTTTTTGAAGCCATTTTGCTTTTCCGTAGTACATTTTTTAAAAGCTGGTTTGATCTTGTTTTTACCTTTTGACTTTCTGTTTTTCAAATTGGTGGAATAAAAAACTCTTCCATAGTTGTTTCAAGAGATAAAGATAGAATGTATATTTTATACTTGTTTAACCAAACAACTTTTAGCTTTTCTACAGCTCACAGACCACAGCAGCTCACAGCACACAGCTCACAGCCCATAGAAGCTTTTTGTTACCGACATAGCTCAACCAAAAACACCCTTAATATAGTAGAGATAGCAGCCGCCTTTGCTCCATTCAGATTGAAGGCGCCATCAAGGTATTCAGGGACCGACCCTGGCGAAGTTGTCCGTGAGGAACTTCTTGCACGCCTCCCTGAGCCTACGGCAGCCATGTTTGTCTGCAAGGTCCAGTGTAGTGATGGCCGTACGTGCATCGTTTATGTAGCTGCAGAGCATGTCGGCGCAGATCAACTTCAGCCTCTCCATTGCATACCGATCTGCCGCGACAAGCAGACCCTGAGCCATCACGATCTTGTCCTCCTCGTGCACCTCAAGAAGAGCGTCGGTGTAGATGAAATGGAGCAGGGCCTTGAACACTCTCGGCTCCATGTCGTCGATCTGCACACGAGCCCTTCCCTGCTTGTCCAAAGAACTCGGCCGTGGACTGGGAGGCGAGAATGCACTTGTGCGCCGAGAACAGATCGCCGCCAACCTCAAATTCCACTTCAGTTCCCACCTGGCTTGCTAGGAGGTGGCCGAGGTGCAGGTGCTGGTTTGGCGGCCGCATTGGAGTGATCTCCTTGACGACAGTGACATCACACTTGACATGGAAACTGTCCCCAAGAAGAGGCTCCGTCTCCACATTAAGAGGGAAATAACAGCGGCATCTATCATTTGCATATGTGAAGGCATAGCAAAATTGGACCGACGATATTATCTCTCGAGCAGGGTCAACTCGAATCGCACCTTCAGTACTTGATCTACATCTCCATCGTTATGGAGGAAGACGGGTAGGCAGCCGGTGTCGTCATCCTCTTTTTCGCGGCTTGGGTAGAATTCGATGTCCCAGCGGCGCCTCCGACGACGAACCATTCGGATTCAACGGAGTCGCCGGGGCGGAACATCTTCTTGGTTTTGGAGTACCGTCGATCGTCAGGACGTGCGACCCGGAAGAGATTCTCCCCGCGGTGCTACTGCTGGCGCCGGCGGATGTTGGGGAGGCTGCCACGTGGGCAGATGGGCCTGGTAGTCCTCAACTTGTATGGACGCAGTAAAGTAGGTTAGTTTGGTGATCAGTAAAAGCATGAACAGAAACTTCGCAATCTACCCTAATAATAATAAAAGGCAAAATTTCTGGTTATTTTTTTCGTCCAGCCCATTCTAATCTAACCCAACAGTTGGCCCACTCCTTCGTTTCCGCTCGCCTCAGCCCAAGTTGTCGCACTCGCACATGCTCCCGTCCGGGCCGTTCCGTCGTTCCTTCCTCTTACTCTCGAAAAAAGAAAAGAAAAATCGTTCGTCTTCCATTCGTTGCCTCCGCCTCCGCCGCGGCGGCGTTGTCGGGGATGGCAGTGATGACGGCGTGGAGGGAGCGGCGAGGTAGTCCAGCAGCTCGGCGCCCTGGTCCCTGAGCGCGGCGGCTCAGGCGGAGGTGCGGCCGAGGTCGACGACGAACTCGGCGAGGACGCGGTTTGCGACGCCGAGGTGAGCCTCAGCTCCGACCAGACCTTGGAGACGAGCGAGAGCTGCATGAGCCGACGCATCCCCGCCACCGCGCCTGCGCCGGTCGCCGCGGGCGTGGCATGGGGTTGGGCACGTGCCGCGTGCAGCCCGCCGCTCAGATCGGGGAATCCTGTCGTTCGGGATGCGCCGCCTCCTCCCGTTGCCCTCCGGGATGCGTTCTTCCAAGAAGCCGGTGCCGCCGTGTTAGCCGAGCGAGTTCAAATCGGGATCGGAATTTGGAATCGAATCGAAGGTAGACTTAAGCTCCTATCAGAAAAATAAAATCCAGGGTATGTTCGACATGAACTCCGACACGAATTCCTTCCACTTTGTTTCCTAATAAATATAGAGAAGGCGGGTCAGGTCACATCGCGGCCTGTGCCTGCGGCGGAGGTGATGGACGCCATTGCGGCTGCGCTGCTGTCGGACCCGTACGAACAACTGGAATGGCGCGCAAGATCATGGCCATGGCCATGGCGGATGGGGCCTCACGCCTCGAGCTTGAGTCCACATGGCTATGGCAGACAGTGATCGCCTTGCCGACGAGCTCGCTGACATGGCTGCCAAGCTCGAGGTGCCTCTCCATGGCGCTGACATGTAATTCCGCACCGAACTCGATGACAACGTGAGTTTACCACCTCGCGTCACCTCACCTGGCTGCTTGCTGCTCTAAATTTTGTTGGTTTCGGCGGTGTCTTGCTTGACTGATGAACCAGTTGATTTCGCTGCGATTCTGGTGTTGGCGAAGGCTAAGTTGGTCAAGGAGCACGACTAGCAAAAGCATTTGTTGTATAATTACTAAAATCATGTTTCCGTTGGTTGGCAGGGCGCGTGCGGATCACCAGTCGGTGTCTGTGGGTGCCACGCTAACAACCGTGTAACAATTTGTTCTCCCTCAGGGTCATGCGCAGATGTACAAGAAGCTGGCCGGGGACCTTGCCAAGGTGATTGCTTTTTGTGATCTATAATCAAGATCAGTGTACCTCACTGGAAACTCACATTAGTTGTTCCATTTTGTTTCTTTGAATTGAATATGCATTTGGAAACCTTCAAGCAGCATATGATGCAGTCGCTAGGCTATGATAATTCCCAAGTGAGTCACCCTCCTCCGATCCCTGAATTTCTTTTTCTGTTGGTTTGTGCAAAGCAGTAAGGCAAAAATCATTGCTGACCTTAACAGATGCAGGAAACGATAGACATAAGAACCTGTGAGCAATAGGTGGCAAAAGCAACTTCGTGGAAAGGTACCGCCCCTTGCACAATGTCTCATGACTCTCATCTACTTGTGGTGGCATCCTGTTACAACTATGTGTCACATGAGATGATACCGCCTCTGCATCATTTCTGTAGATGGACTAGAGAACAGCAATCCTGTATCTATTTGTTTTTTTTAATGTCTTGCAGTATCCTAGATGGCAACAATGATTGCAGATACCATTAAGACCTAACTTCTGTTAAAGTTTCGTGATTTTTTATGAGGGATGTATATGCCTATTTGAATATTACTATTGTATTTGTCAACATTCTGAAACTGCAGTTGGTGCAGTGTTGTTAGGGCTTGCAGAATATGTTCTTCAGGTGGTTTATGCCAGTTAATAAAGCGATCACCTTCATGATTGGTGGCATTCTGGGTTGGATTGCTTGCAACTGTTGGCCCACGGGATCACCGTCTGACGATAGTGAACTAGTCTCCAGACCACTAGTCTCAGACCACTAGTCTCTCAGACCACTAGTCTCCTAGACTAGACCACTAGTCTCCCGTGATCGGACCACACTAGTCTCCCGGACCAGACCACTAGTCTCCGTGAGCACTAGTCTCCCGGACCAATATACCGGTTGTGTCCATACACACACACTACGGATCGAGCTAGAAGAAGAAGGGAGGAGAACAGAGCAAGCACGCACAATACAAGACAACAACGTTGGCCGAGATCCCGTCTGTGATGGCAAATCTGAGCTCTCTTTACTGAAGTTGCCTTGGTGCCCTATTTATACAACTCTATCTATCTAACTAAAGTACAGCGCGCACATGCTGTATGTGATAACTAGATAAGCATACAGGGCTGACATCGCGCGCCACTCGCATGTGCCTCTGATCTGTCATAGGTGAGCCATGCGGCGCTGCACCTACAGGCCGCCAATCAGACATCAGAGGGGGGGCAAAGTCGGCGCCGCCTTCCTCTGCTGTGTTTCACACAAGGTGGCAGTAGATTAGCTAACAATCTTTCCCTAATCCTACTACTAACCCTTGCACCCCCTCCATGCCGATCATCTCCTTCAGCTCCGTGAGTCGAAGTCGTCCGAGCGGCTTGGTGAGGACGTCCGCAAGTTGCCGACCAGTTTCGACAAACTCGATGACGATCTGCCCTCCATCAACACAGTCCCTGAGGAAGTGGAACTTCACGTCAATGTGTTTACTCCGGTCGTGCAGAACCGGATTCTTCGCGAGGACGATGGCGGGCTGGTTGTCCACCATCAGTGCTGGTGGGTGAGCTTCCACGCCGGTTAGCTCGCCCAGCAGCCGGCGTAGCCACACAACTTGGCACGCCGCTGTGGCCGCCGCTACGTACTCTGCCTCGGACGTAGATAGCGCCACCACCTTTTGTTTTAGCGACAACCATGAAATTGGGGTCGACCCGAGGAAGACGAGTACGCCAGAGGTGCTCCGTCGTCCGTCGATGTCCCCCGTCATGTCTGCATCGCTGAATACCGTGAGCTGCAGCCTACTTCCCCTGGTCTTTGGGAAGATGATTCCATAATTCACCGTCCCCTTGATGTAGCGTAGTAGCCGTTTCACCGTAGCCCAGTGATCCTCTCTGGGATCCTCCATGAAGCGACTAACGTAGCCCACGGCGAACGCAATGTCTGGCCATGTGTGGACTAGGTAGCGCAGACCCGCCGACGATGCTCCGGTAGAGTGTTGCATCTACTTTCGCTGCGGTGCTGTCCTTCATCGCCTTCAACGCTCCTCCATCGAGTCACGCATGGCTTGCACTCCACCATGCCGCTCCTCTCCAACAGCTTGGAGGCATCGCGCTTTGCCCGAGCGTGAGTTCCTCCTTCTCTTGTCTCACCTCGATGCCGAGGTAGTAGGAGAGAGCGCCGAGATCGCTCATTCGAAACAAGCTGCCATCTCTCGCTTGAAGCTATTGATATCTTCCGTGCGTGCGCCGGTGACGATTAAGTCATCCACATACACACCGACCACGAGTTCTTCCTTCCCCCGTCGTCGCATGTAGAGCGCGTGCTCGGTTGCGCACCTCTGAAACCCAAGCTCGCCCAGTGTGGTGTCAAGCTTGGCGTTCCATGCTCGAGGGGCTTGCCTCAGCCCGTAGAGCGCTTTGCGCAGTCGGAGCACCCTGTGCTCCTCTCCCTTGACAAATGAACCACGGAGGTTGCCAGCGAAGACCGTTTCCGCCAGCTCGCCGTTGAGGAAGGCCGATTTAACGTCCAAGTGATGGACGCGCCAGTCCTTTGCTGCCGCCAAAGCAAGTAGCAAACGGATCGACTCCATGCGCCCTACTGGTGCAAAGACCTCCTCGAAGTCGATGCCCTCGCGCTGGACAAAGCCTCGGGCGACGAGGCGTGCCTTGTACTTGACAATGGCGCCGAGCTCATCCCTTTTGACTTTGTACACCCACTTCAGGCTGATCGGACGGCATCCTGGGGGTGGATCGACGAGCTGCCAAGTCTCGTTTTTCTCGATCGCCTTCATCTCCTCCAGCATTGCCCGTCGCCAGTTTCCATCGCGCTCGGCTAGCGCGAACGTGGGTGGTTCCTCTGCACTGACGAGTAGCAGCTCTGCGTCGTTGAGCAGCCTACCTGCCAGACTTGAGGGACCTGTGCCGCCGACGATGTCGTCCAGCCTGCGGAACCTCAACTCCTCA